CAGCATTCTTTAGAGTGTTGAGATCTTATTTGAGTATTATTTATATACTATTATAATTTTCATTAATGTTTTGGATTTCCCTTTTTTTTTTTAATATATTTTCATTTTAATTTTTGTTTTTGTAATTTTATGTGCTTTTGTCATTTTTATTTATTTATTTATTTTGTTGTATTACTATTTAGATTTAATTTATTTTTATACCAGTTTTAGTTTTTATAATTTTAGTGAGTCAACTTAAACTTTCATGTTGTGTATATACTATTATAATTTTTATTAATATTTTGGTATATTTTGAATATTTTTATATTTTCGGTTTTAATTTTTGTTTATGTTTACTATATAGGGTTTTTTATTATTTCAGTTTTAGTTTTTATTTATTTCCAGTTAATAATTTTTGTGATTCAGCTTAAACTTTATTGTTTATATACTATCATAGTTTTTATTAATATTCTAAAATAATTTTATTGCCGTTTTAGATTTATTTTTAGCTCAGTTTTAGTTTTTATTTATTTCCAGTTAATAATTTTAGATTGAACTTTAATCTTAGTTTTATTTATATACAATTATCATTTTTAATTATATTAAAAAATTACTTTTTATTTTTACTTTTTTAGGTTTCATTTTAATTTTACATTTTTTTGTTTTGATTTTAGTACAGTTTTAGTAATTTTTTTATTAGTTGTTTTAATATTTCTATGTAGTTTTTATTATTTTTTTAGTTCGGTTTTATTTCTACTTTATTTCAGTGATTCATTTTTTTTTAGTATTATATATAATATTCTTGTAGTTTTTATTAATATTTTGAATTAGCTTTTATTTTTATATTTTCAGTTTTCATTTTAATTTTAGTTTAGGTTTTAGTCATTTTTATTAGTATTTTTTTTTAGTCTTACTATGTGTGTTTAATTCATTTTTATTTCAGTTTTAGATTTAGTTTTAATTTATTTCCAGTTAATAATTTTAGGGATTCAACTTATTTCAGTTTTTGTTAACCCAAAAGTTGGGTTTTAGTCCATATTTGACCCAAAGTTAGGTTGAAACCACCCAGCATTCTTTAGAGTGTTGAGATCTTATTTTAGTATTATTTATATACTATTATAATTTTCATTAATGTTTTGGATTACCCTTTTTTTTAAAATATATTTTCATTTTAATTTTTGTTTTTGTAATTTTATGTGCTTTTGTCATTTTTATTTATTTATTTATTTTGTTGTATTACTATTTAGATTTAATTTATTTTTATACCAGTTTTAGTTTTTATTTATTTTCTGTTAATAATTTTAGTGATTCAACTTAAACTTTAGTATTGTTTATATACTATTATAGTTTTTATTAATATTTTTAATTGGCTTATAGTTTCATATTAGTTTTATCTCAAGTTTTAGTAATTTTGTTATGTGCATTTTTTTGTTTTTTTTATGTCATTATTTAGGGTTAATTTATTTTTAGTTCAGTTTTAGTTTTTATTCAAATCCATTTAATAATTTCCGTTTTTATTAATATTTTGAATATTTTTATATTTTCGGTTTTAATTTTTGTTTATGTTTACTATATAGGGTTTTTTATTATTTCAGTTTTAGTTTTTATTTATTTCCAGTTAATAATTTTTGTGATTCAGCTTAAACTTTATTGTTTATATACTATCATAGTTTTTATTAATATTCTAAAATAATTTTATTGCCGTTTTAGATTTATTTTTAGCTCAGTTTTAGTTTTTATTTATTTCCAGTTAATAATTTTTGTGATTCAGCTTAAACTTTATTGTTTATATACTATCATAGTTTTTATTAATATTCTAAAATAATTTTATTGCCGTTTTAGATTTATTTTTAGCTCAGTTTTAGTTTTTATTTATTTCCAGTTAATAATTTTAGATTGAACTTTAATCTTAGTTTTATTTATATACAATTATCATTTTTAATTATATTAAAAAATTACTTTTTATTTTTACTTTTTTAGGTTTCATTTTAATTTTACATTTTTTTGTTTTGATTTTAGTACAGTTTTAGTAATTTTTTTATTAGTTGTTTTAATATTTCTATGTAGTTTTTATTATTTTTTTAGTTCGGTTTTATTTCTACTTTATTTCAGTGATTCATTTTTTTTTAGTATTATATATAATATTCTTGTAGTTTTTATTAATATTTTGAATTAGCTTTTATTTTTATATTTTCAGTTTTCATTTTAATTTTAGTTTAGGTTTTAGTCATTTTTATTAGTATTTTTTTTTAGTCTTACTATGTGTGTTTAATTCATTTTTATTTCAGTTTTAGATTTAGTTTTAATTTATTTCCAGTTAATAATTTTAGGGATTCAACTTATTTCAGTTTCGGTCATTGCAGCTGAGAAAAATGTCTTTTCATGCATGCAGTATGTTTGTATGTATATTCCAATGTTTAAAGTGCATATTCATATCCACATCAGGAGGATTTTATGGCTTTGGAAATGCATCATGGGAAGGTGTCCTTCCTGTGGGACACTGGCTCTGGACTCACCAGACTAGAGTATCCCAGTGTTCAGATCAACAATGACAAGTGGCACAGGATCAATGCGACGCGGTTCGTGACTCTCAGTGCTGATGGGACTTTTCAGTTCTACCCTTTGAACAACAGACTCTGACATCTAGATCTCCTGTACTGTAATTTTAGGTTTGGGAGACACGGGACCCTCACTGTCCAGCAGACGGACTCTGAGCCGCTGCCCGCAGTGAAGACCACAGCGTCTGGGTCCTCCACCGTCATGGACGTCAACAAATCCACCTGGGTGTTCGTCGGGGGCCTCGGCGCTCAGGTGAAGGTAAGATGCACATCCGTCTGGTGTTCCTCAGGGTTCCCTTGCATTTGGCCCTGTTTACATCTGTTGTGTTTTTCCCAGAAACCCCCAGCGGTGAAAATGACCCACTTCAGAGGCTGCATTGGTGAAGCTTCGCTCAACGAGAACAACATCGGCTTGTGGAACTACGCTGAGAGACAGGGAGAGTGTGGCGGCTGCTTCATGAGGTAAAACACACCGTTCACCCACCCTAGCAACCATCCAGTTCAGCCTAGCAACCGTATAGAGACACAAAGATACCATAGCAACTACCTAGCAACCATCCGTGTTGCCTTGCAGACACTGAAAACACCCTAGCAACTGTCTAGCAACCACTGAAAACACTCTAGAAACTGCCTAGCGACACCCTAGCAACCACCCAGAACAGCTTAGCAACCATCTAAGACACCTAGTACCAGTAGCAGCCACTGAAAACACCATAGCAACTGTATAGCAACCACTGAAAACACTCTAGCAACTTCCTAGTGACACCATAACAACAACCCAAACCACCCTAGCAACTACATAGCAACGTTCTAGCAACTATGACACCTCACAACTGTCTAGAAACTACTGAAAACACTCTAGCAACTTCCTAGTGACACCATAACAACAACCCAAACCACCCTAGCAACTACATAGCAACGTTCTAGCAACTATGACACCTCACAACTGTCTAGAAACTACTGAAAACACTCTAGCAACTTCCTAGTGACACCATAACAACAACCCAAACCACCCTAGCAACTACATAGCAACGTTCTAGCAACTATGACACCTCACAACTGTCTAGAAACTACTGAAAACACTCTAGCAACTTCCTAGTGACACCATAACAACAACCCAAACCACCCTAGCAACTACATAGTAACATTCTAGCAACTATGACACCTCAGAGCTGTCTAGAAACTACTGAAAACACTCTAGCAACATCCTAGCGAAACCCTAGAAAATACATAGCAATGCCCGAGCAACCATTCATGACACCTAGCAACTGCCTAGTAACCACCCAGAACACCCTGGTGACCACTGAAAACACCATAACAACTGCCTAGGTCACACAACAGCCTAGCGACACCCTAGCAACCACCCAGCACACCCTAACAACCATTCAGCAATGCCCTAGCAACCATCTCTGACACCTAGAAACCACTGAAACCACCATAACTGCCTAGGTCCCACAACAGCCCAGCAACACCCTAGCAACCATCTGTGACACCTAGCAACCACTGAAAACGCCATAACAACTGCCTAGGTCCCACAACTGCCTAGCAACACCCTAGCAACCACCCATATACTTTAGCAAGCACTTAGCAATTCCCGAACAACCATCTGTGACACCTAGCAACCACTAAAAACACCATAACAACTGCCTAGGTCCCACAACAGCCTAACAACCACCCAGCGCACCCTAACAACCATTCAGCAATGCCCTAGCAACCATCTGTGACACCTAGCAACCACTGTAGCAACTGCCTAGGGACACCCTGGCAACCACATAGCAATGCCCTAGCAATTGACACCATAGCAACTGCCTAGCAACCACTGAAAACACCATAGCAACTGCCTAGGAACCACAGAAAGCATCCTAGCAGCCACCTGCATTCAGGCCCTGTTTCCAGCTAGTCTTCAGATGTGTTTTTGATGACGTGATGAGCATTAAATACAGGTGGAAACAGTCACTGACGCTCTTCCTGTGTGTCTCATGTCCATCAGTCCACGCACTGAAGACACGTCGTTCCACTTCGACGGCAGCGGTTTCTCTGTGCTGGAGAAGTCCCTGCGCTCCATGTCCACCAGCGTGGTCATGTTCTTCAAGACTCTCTCTCCTAACGGCCTGCTGCTGTATCTGGCCTCCAACGGCACCGTACGTTCACGCTAGCACTTCTCACCTCCTTATCTCCCTCTCAAGCGCTCCTCAGCGTCTCACTCAGCTCTCTTCTCATCTGTGTTTGTAGAGGGACTTTCTGTCCATCGAGCTGGTGGAAGGGAAGGTTCACCTGACCTTTGAACTGGGCTCCGGAGCGCTGACCTTGACCTCCAACAGAACATACAACACAGGCACCTGGTACAGAATCGCCCTGCAGAGGAACAAGCGCCGAGGTGCCGCTCTGCTCTCTTATCCATTACATCTGGTAGATTTCTTATGAGGTTTAAGCTCACAGGAAGTGCTGTGTGTTGTGTCTGCAGGTCATTTGTCGGTCATGGCTGCTGATAAACCCTCAGAGCGAGAGGTCATGGAGGCGGAGTCACCGGGTTCGTCCTCTGACCTCAATCGCTCTGACCTCGACCCCATCTACATCGGCGGATTACCGGCCTCTCGACCAATCAGGTGAGAGCAAACTCTCAGAAGACATGCTACAGTTTCCTTAAAGTAATTCCTAAAGACTCAAGAGTCATTTTTGTCTTATATGCGACTTCCTTGTGCACGGTTGCAGGAGGCAGGTTGTGGCTCGCTTTTTCGTCGGCTGTATGAAGAATGTGGAAATCGCTCGCACAAACTTCGACCTGCTCAGAGAGTCGTATGGCGTGAAGAAAGGCTGCGTCCTCAAGGTACAGCTTCACATGAAAATTTAAGAATTTAATCATAAAAAATGTGCAATTTAAAAAAAAGAAAACAATTTAAGAGGTAAAAATGTAAAATTAAAATAATTTAAATAAAACACTAAAATGTTCAATTAAAATAAAATAAAAAACTAATTAAGAGGTAAAAATGTAAAATTAAAATCATTTAGATAAAACACAAAAAAAATAAAATGCTTAAATAAAACACAAAAAATGTTCAATTAAAATAAAAATAATTTTAAAAGTTAAACGCTTCAAAATAAAACACTTAATAAAAATATATTAAATGGTAAAAATGTAAAGTTGAAATAAACAAATCATTTTGAAATAAAAAGAATCAAACCACTTGCTAAAATGAATGAAATGTTTAAAATATAAAATTAAAATAATTTTTAAAAGTAAAGCACTTCAAAAATTTACAATTAAAATAAAAGAAAATTAATTAAGAGGTAAAAAATGTCAAATTAAAATCATTGAAATAAAACACAAAAAAATAAAACACTAAAAATGTACAATTAAAATAAAAGAAAATTAAGAGGTAAAAAATGTAAAATTAAAATAATTTAAAATAATTTTGAAATAAAAAGAATCAAACCACTTGTTAAAATGAATTAAATGTTTAAAATATACAATTAAAATAAATCATTTTAAAAGTAAAGCACTTCAAAATAAAACACTCACTGAAAATTAATTAATAAAAATGTAAAATTGTGTGGGTTTTCTGGCATTTGTGTATTTAATGGATTCTTGTGTCTGTTGAACTGCAAAACAAACAAATCTGAAGGTGTTTGTCTTCAGCTGTAATTAGTTGATTAAATGAATCAGTTCACTCATTAAATCACAATTATTGTTTACAGTACTGAAGTGTATGTGAAAAGTACAGTATTTTTTATTGCTTTTCATTTGTTATTGTGCTATAAAACAAAGGACACTGAAATAGTAAGTTAAACAAAAAATACAATATTTTGATTAATATAAATATTAATACTATATTTATAATATTAATATACAGTATTTATATTTATCATTACTAAAGATTATTTTAAAGCCCCTTATTTAAGTTTGAACCCCTTTCATTTTCTTTGTTTAAATCTCTAAAATAGTGTCAATATAACATATTATCAATATGGTAATTTTAGATAAAAAATATATATCTAAAGCTCTAAAATATTA